GATAGATCCAACGGAGAATACCCCATCAACAGATACTCCCATCGTGGCAACGCGTAAGATTGGAAATCTGCTTCAGATAAAATGGAGCCCCCTGCATCGGTAGCAGATCAGGTAAACTTGGTCATCCTATCGAACGATCCAAGTGAAACGCAGCTCCAATAAGTGAATGGTGAAAACTTCAATAATGCATAGCATACTAACCAAGGGTGATCAACATAGATTAGGGGATCTGCACAGTTAATTTTTGGCATCTTCAGCTTATTGCTAGGGTAGCCTCCAACGATGTATCTTTCGTTTTCATTTCATTTCCGGATCACGTAACTTTAGAATTAGTTAAAAGTAAATTCATGTCGCACACCATTGACCGAAATCATTCTCTTGTAATAATTAATTGAAGCTTACTGTTATTAGAATCTTAACATGTATGAATCTGTAAAAAGGGACCTAAAGTTTGTGAGAATTTTTAATCAATTTCGCCTCTGCCTTTCATCATTTGATTTGCTTTGCAGCTTGAAATTGTCCCGGTTAATGTCAAACGGGCGAAAGTGAAAATAGAATAAAATGGTGGTTGAAATCCATTGCTAATCCCGTATAATAAGCAATGATAATTGAAGAACACGACATAAACCAAACATCAATATATCAAAGTAAACGGCGCAATGTTTTGTTTCAAATTGATAATTTAATCTAAGACGGGTAAAGTTTTCCGGAACTTCGAAGGAATAAAGAACACGTAATTAAGAAGGAAGTGCAACTATTGATAAATTGACTTAATCCAAACGTCCCGTCGTATTACATGAGTTGAAATGACGCATATTTGTTGGAATTTTAAAATAAAACAAATATAATAATAATATCAAACAAATGGAGATATTAAGTATAATTATAAACCATATTAACATATAACTAACTTCAATTTCAAAATAAATATATTGGAAAATTTTGCAAGAAATATGCAAAAAGGATGGGGTGGCGCTGAAATGTAGTTACCGGGGTCTACAGTGGCGAATGTACTCCTTAGTAATAAATTTTGAATTTTTTTTTATTTTACTTGTATTTATTCTATACAAAAATTTTATTTTATTAATATATATGTGTCTAAATATACTACGGAAGTCTATCGACCATAAAAGAAATCGATCGACATGGTTACCCCTACGGCCGCAACTATGATATCTCTCAACGCTGGTTAAGAAAATTATTCCTTGGACGAACAGTTCTACCACTTTGATCCGTACTATTTCTTTTCATTTTACTTGTTTAAAACGTGCAAGTTTACTTAGCCTACTACATCTTATATGTCGTATTTCACGTTCATATCTGTTAGCTTATGATATTTCACTTTCAAAAACGATCTGTTTTTCTTAAGTGAAACGTACTGATGTTGATACACGCAGATATATGTGTTTGAAGAAATTTACGGATAAATACAAATTTGCTAACCTCAGCTAGAATTGAAATGTACAGGATACATGAGAAAAAAAAACAATTGACAGACGAGATACAATGTACCGTTCGTGATAGGGTATTAGACTATAATATGTACTTAAGGATCGGCATGGGTCGGTCAAGTCGGATTTTTTATCCATCCGACCCGATCCAAAAATTATAAATTATCTACCCAACTCGAAAAAAACATATATTTTTCACCCGACACCTAAACCCAACTCAGTTTTTTGAGATGAAATTCGAACTCTACCTGAACTAATATATTTATTAAAAATATTATTTTTATTCAATAAAAATAAAGATTTAATTGAAAGAAAATAATATATAAAAGAATAATATTGTAATTATCCTTAAATATATAATGCAAAATTATTATTTTTTTGGATCGGGTCGGGTCAAGTATATTTTTACCGTAAACCCGACCCAATTGGGTCGGAACCCGTCGGGTTCGGGTCTCATGCCAATCCTTATATGTATTTTTTTAAACAATGACAATTGTATTTTATTAATAATGGAATGAATTAAAATTACAACGTATCAAAATATAGAGAAAAATTTAGAGACAATAACCATTAAAATATTCACCCAAAAGAAAAAAAAAACTAAAACTAAAGTTGCAAAGAAAATTAAAATATTCCAATAGAAATGATGACCAACATCAAAATACAATAACTTTCGTAAAATTTATTGTCTAGATTGAGACGCTTGACTAAGTGATTATTGATTAATTTTTTAATTCATTAAATTCATTTCGTTGTGGCTAACTAATAATATATATTTAAGAATTAAATCATTATATATATATATATACATTATGTTTAGAAAAGTAACTTAGTCTTGTGAAGCGTTACGAATGAGTATATTATAATACACACACATACATATATATAATATAAAGTACTATGCAAGTGGGTGGAGAAACTCGTAATTTTAAAGCTATATTTTTATTTAAAAGTTCTCTTCTTGGGGTATTTGAAAGTTTGACTAATAGTAATGCACAGAATCTTCGAAGTTGGTTCAAGTAATAAGCAACTTGATATCGCTTAAGTACAGTCTTAGGTTTGAGTCATTGTGTATGTAGAAAATCCTCATTGGGAGGCTCACCTAGGGGTGCTTATCGAACGAGTCAATCGCGAGTTGGGCAGTGCTTGACTCGTGCTCAATAAAAAAATTGGTTACTCGACTCGACTCGTTGCTCATTAAAATTTTGCTCGACTCATGCTCGTTAAGAAAACTTATTGTTCGACTCATTGCTCATTAAGCTCTTTACTCATTAAGCTCGATGCTCATTGCTCGCCTCGTTTTTTGTTAAGTCAACTAAAATTTTTACCTTATTTTATTAATTATAGGTAAAATCTACTAATATTATATAGAACTTTAGATAAATATAAATTAATAAATTTAACAAAAAAATTATCAAGAGAGTGTATGAAGTAATTTTAAAGTCTAAACTGCAAAGTAACAATCTACGAATACATTAAAATAATAAATAATGTTTGATTTTTTTAGTGTATAAAATAAATTTTAAGATAACTACTAAAAATTATATAAAAAATTAACGAGCTGCTCGCGAATTTACCGAGTCGAGTTGGACTTTGCTCAACTCAACTTGTTAAGGTCTCGAGTTAAGCTCGAGTTTGAGTCGAGTTTTTATGGAGCTTTGACATAGTCGAATTCGAGCTGCTCAACTTATTAAATACCCCCAGACTCACCCACCAAAACCATGTGTGCGGCATAATATTTTCAAGGTAAAAATGATAATTTATTTTCTTAATAAAAAGTTACTTAGGTTTCTCCGGTAAAAGATGAATAATCGATAATGATTTTTTTTAATAAGTGAAGAAGTATTATATTTTCAACATAAACATTAAGTTTCAAATTCACATAAAACAGGATAACATAATATTATTCACCACTCAATCAATTAATGGATTTCAATAATCAATAACGATTTTAAATGAAAAAGTGAAAACGCCTTTAATTTTGTATTTATTTTAACAAATTTTACTAAAAAGTTTTATATATTAATATAATCTTAATAAATATTGATATTGATTATTTTTTGTGTTTATATTATTAAGCCAAATCACATCAAACTTGTTCAATAATTTTATAGCATAAATATAAATAATTAAATATATTTAAAAGATGTATAGACCCTTGCTTATCGCTCATCTATGCCTTTGCATGTTAGCACCTCTTTGCCAAAGGAAAAAGGAAATCAAATAAATGGCGGCGGCCCACCATCTCCGCCGTCGCCAGCCCCTCATGGTGAGCGACGATATTTCGTTACTATTTTTTTAGATAACACCCGGCCTACATGTGAACTTCCCCATTTATATGTTAATTGGCAACTTGATATAATTATAATTTTTTTGGCACAAACTTCAACTTATAAAATTTTAAAAATATAAATAGATTTTTGATAAAAGATATATAAAAAAATTAAAATATTTGATATTTTAATTTTTTAGAGAGAACGACCCTGTCTAGGTCCATCATTTACACACCTAATAGTCTCTTGTAATTTTTTAGTAATAACTTTTTTAAACTCCATTAATTAATAGTAACAATATATTAATCAGCAGCCCTAATTAAGAATTAAAATTTCTGTTTGGATCATGTGAGATTTAGCTATATAATATATAAGTTATTTTCTCTACATTTATAATGTATATGGTACGATCCATTATTGAAGCCTGAACAGTTCCCGTTTTAGTATATTATATTTAAATATTCACTGTAGAAAATTTTATAATATATTCGTAAAATAGTTTATATTGCATTGATTACACTTTCTCTTCTCGTAATCTAACATTAGGGTAAGATATACTATTTTATGTGTGTTTGATCTACTCTATCATTATTATAATTTAATCTTAGTCTATATTTGATGATTGTAAAGGTATATTAATATTCAATTTGAGCATATAAAATAATGATAAATTAATAGAATAACTAAATAAATGTTATATAGAGAGATAGGTTGAATCCAACATTGAGATAAGAAACAAAAAAGGTGTTATGGGAGCACAGATGGATTGATGGAGACTAACGGGGTGGTCATCCTTATGACAATTTTAAATTTTTATATAATTTATTTATTTTTATATTTTCTATTAATAATTTAGTTATGTCATCTAAAAAATTTATAAGTTTGCATTTAGTGTAAAATTATGCATCCATTCATGTATGAGAATAGAACAAAATATAAAAATAAATAAAATCATTTACTATTTACAAAATAAAAAAAATTAAATAAAATATTAGTTTAAATTATAAAGGAGATAAAGAAATAACAACAATGGATAAAATTATATTTATCATTAATAATAATAAAAACTAAGAAAGGATTACTTAGAGAAATAACATTAATGGATGTTTAGTCTAAAATTATATTTATCATTAATAATAATAGAACATTATTTTCATTGAACTAGTTTATGATATTTTATTTCCCTTTATATAGGAGAAAATTAATATTTATGGTGTGATAGTATGGAATGCTTTTGTGAGTAGAATAAATCCAAATATAATGAGAACTACATTGACTACTCTGCATGGATCTTTCCCTTTTCTTGGACTAGAAAAGGTAAGCCGCCTCTGACGTTGGCGGTGAGACCAGGGGTGAACCTTGGTGTTTTATTTGGATAGAGAAGCCTGATGTTGAATCGGCCGATTATAGCTAGAACCACCGATTTCATCTCCGCCAAAGCCATTTCCTTGCCTAGACAAACCCTTTCCCCAGCTTGGAAAACTGGGTACTTGAAAGGGTTTTCAGGGACATATCTGCCATTTTCCAACCATCTGTCCGGCTTGTATTTGAGACAATCGGGGCCCCAAACCCGCTCAATCCGACCCATTGCATATGGATGATAAGTCACCCTTGTCCCCTTTCTCACAAAGGTACAGTCAGGCAAAATGTCGTCTTCAAGAGCAAACTTTGAGTCGAATTGAATTGGTGGAAACAATCTTAAACTTTCACACACTGCCGCGTGTAAATAATGCATGTCTCGCAGTTGATCGAAAGATGGAAGTTGTTGGTGGTGGTCATCGCTCGATCCCACGACCCTTTCGACCTCTTCTCGAATGGCCGACTCAACTTCTGGATGTTGAGATAACAACCAGAAGAAGCTCGTTAAACCTGCGGCCACCGTGTCCCGACCAGCCAAGAGGAAACTCACGACAATGTCTCTGAGGTACTTGTCGTCATTGATTGTTCCCATGAATCTTGACAAAAGATCATTGCTGTCTGAGAAACCCTTCTCGCGCTTCTTCTTGATCATCTCTTGAGCTAACATATCCACCATTTTAATGGCTTGTTTAAGCTGTTTCTCAGTTCCTAAATTCAATGCCCTCTTGAGCTTCCATATAAAAGGTGACGATGTCAGCGCCCTTTGCGCCGATAGCTTAGTTGCTAAATCAAAAGCTTCGGCCAGCTCCGAAACGGGCAACGATAACTCGAGGCAACCAGGGTCTAACCCGAAAGAAAATTTGCAGATATTATCGAATGAAAACCGTTGAAACACGTCTTGCAAATCTAAAACTCGTTGTTCAGCGGAAATCGATGAAAAAAGAGGGAGAAGCCTAGATTGAATCTCTGAATTGACGATATCAAACGCGTGCCTTCTTATGGCAGTGCTACCAAGCTCAAGGCTAGCCATTTTCCTTTGAAACTTCCACGAATCACCATCGACGTTGAAAATACCTTTACCAAGAAGATCGCCGAGGACAGCAGCGAAAGGTTTCCCCTTTGGGTAGTTTTCAAATCTGGTCCTGAGAATGTGCTCGACGTTTTTAGGGTTTGCAGTGATGGTATTGCCGAGAGCATGGATATGGATCGTTCCGGTTGCAGATTTTCGAAGGAGGTGAGTGAACCAATCACAAAGGTTATCGAATTCTTTGGTCCAACTGGAAGTGAGATAAGCCTGGCAGATTTCACAATTACACCAGGCCTTCTTCAACCTCAAAACGAAGATCAACAAAGAAAACAAGAGGATGAAAGAGAAGAAAGTGATGCAGAAAGCAGTGCACATGGAGGAAAACCACGAGTAGAGTCCTGAGACCATTGAAGAAATAAAAAAATAAAGCTTAAGAAAGGCAATATGAGTAATGAGATGGTGAATGGAAAATGAAGAGAGATAATGGTTTTATATAGTTATATGATATTAGATCTATGATTACTTTCATAAAAGAAATGAAATTGGAGGACTAAAAACAATCCATCTGTGATTTTATTTTAATTGATCGAGATTTTACTGACGTGTATTTTCTAGCCGCTCGACATGCGAGAAAATATTTCATTGCATGAATAATACGTGCGCAAAAATAAGCAATGGGTCCATTTGCAACAGAAAGCAAAACAGCCAAATTCTCAAAAAAGAAAAAGAAAGAAGATAAAACAGCCGAATTGGACGTCCCATTTCAAGCTTTCAACCTCTGAATTAAGACTAATATATGCGAGCTTTCGTTTGCCTTTAAAATATTATATATATTATATAAAAATTTTAGGCATTAATTAACAATTATTAGATATCGGTATTAATTGAAAATAAAAATAAAATAGAATAATGATAAATTAATATTCAATTTTATGTTACTAATAATGTAAGCGGTAAAATAACTAATAAGGTAAACGGTAAAATATTAATATTCAATTTGAGCATATAAAATAATGATAAATTAATAGAATAACTAATAATGTAAACGGTAAAATAAAATAGGTGTTACTTATTACGTTAAACTATCTACCGGTTTGTTTAAAGATTACTAATAATGTAAACAATAAAATAAAATAGGCACTACCTATTATGTTAAACTACATACCGGTTTGTTTAAAGGTTACTAATAATGTAAATGGTAATATAAAATAGGCGCTACCTATTACGTTAAACTACCTACCAGTTTGTTTAAAGGTTAATAATAATGTAAACGGTAAAATAAAATAAACGTTATCTATTTTGTTAAATAAACTCTACCTATTACGTTAAATAAGCGAAACCCATTATGTTAAACTAGCTACTGATTTGTTTAAAGGTTAATAATAATGTAAACGGTAAAATAAAATAGGTGCTATCCATTATGTTAAAAAGGCGCTACCTATAACGTTAAATAAGCGCTACATATTACGTTAAACTAGCTACCAGTTTGTTTAAAGGTTAATAATAATGTAAACGGTAAAATATATACAACTTAACTGTTTGAAATATTTTTTTTAAAATTCGAAAGTATTGATACTTGTAGGTTGATGTGAGGGGTGGGATTCATTAATTTTTTCAAAAATATCGATACATCATATATCAATTATAGATATTTTAACATTCATCAATTTTTTCAAATGCTAAAGTCTCGATAACAGTCATCAAAAATCTAAAATTCTAAAGTATCAATACCGGGTACTAATAATTTTCCTGAATATGTACTAATACATATACACTAAGTATATAATAATTTTTATACTTCTACACTAAGTATCGATATTTTTACAAATATATTTTAATGGAATTTTGTAAATAAGTCACTTTCAATAACTTTAATATTCCAGATTGCAACCTACTTCTTTATTCAAAATAACATTATTGGACGCAACCTAGTATGATAATATTTATTTATAACAAAATAAGAAATTAATCTATTTTGTTATTATTTGTCATTTCAAGGTCTCATCAGCTTAAACTTTGGAAATATTTTAGGTGTCAACTAATATGTTTATAATATTGATAACAAATTAAGTAATTAACCTATTTTGTTATCGCAGATTTCTAAGGCCATCAACTTTAAACAGACGCTACCTATTACATTAAATAAGCGCTACCTGTTATGTTATTATGATTGATAATGTTTCCAATAATTAACCGGTTATGTTAAAGTCAATATTTTTTTGACGCGTTTTACATACGACAATAATGTAGACGCTATATTTCGACCTTATCATATAATAATATATTATTTATTTATTTTTCTTATTTAATTATTTATTTTACAGGCCCAAGGAGCTGCAGAGCCCGACAGAAGATTCTGGTCCAGCACCAAGCCCTCCTTCACTCATCCACAGCGCCGCATCACTCATGGTTGAGGACTCCTCGCCGTGCACGCCTCTCCAATAACCCCAGAAACGTCCGGCAATCGAGACTCATGTTCATCACCAACAACCCAACATTAGACTCCTATTAGGATTCAAAATGTAATCTAAAAACATGCTTTTCTTTTTATTATAAATAAGTGTAAAGCAACACCATTGTAAGACATTCGGATTACACGAAATAAAAGCAAAAGTTCCAAGCAGAAACCAGAGCAAAAACCGAAACCTTTTTTTGATTTTTGAGAAGAACGAAAGGTAACAGATCATACCTTTCATTGTTTTGATATCTTGCATGTTGTTTCCATCGTGTTGTTCTTGATTTAAACCCCAAATAAAACATTTTGGTCGATGACAGAGGGGTGGATCTTTCGAACTTTCAATCTCAGATCTACTCCGAGACTTATTTTTTTCAAAGAAATATTTTGGTTTTCGAAGAGAGTGGAAGAAAAGCTTTCGAAAATATCAATTTTTTTTTAGAGTTTGTCACCGATGAACGGCGGCCGACGAGGCGGCGCTACCGTATTTCTGGGTTTGGGGGTGGCCGTGTTCTTCATTGTGAAGAACACGGATGAACGTTTCAGAGAATTCTAAGGGGGCTGTTTTGATCTGTTTGGAAACTAAATGAGAAGTGTAAACTTGTTTGCTGAAATTAGTATTTATAGTATACCCGCTTGGACTGTGACCCGATCCGTATAACCCATCTGACTCGCGTGTTTTTAACAAAAAATAGGGAGTTCGCGTTTTGGTCCCCAGTTTTCAAAATATTGAATTTAGCCCCCTAATTCAATTTTTAAACCTCGATTCCATCTTAATTTGGCCACTTGATTTTCTTTATTTTATTTTTAACCATTGTCAATTTATCTATTAAATTTCTTTTTTTTTAATCATTTTCTTATTTCTTTAAATATATTTTGTTTATTATCATTATTTTACATATATTTTTTATTATTATATTATATTTATTATATATATATGTTTTTTTCTTTTAATTTGATGATGGGTTTGATTTGATTATTTTAATAGGTAGTGGTTGATTATTTTAATATGTGGTGTTGATTATTTTAATAGGTAGTGATTTGATAGATAGAGGTTTGACTATTGAATAGGTAGTGAGTTAATTATTTATTTGATTTGTTAATTCCGTTTTTTTTATTTTTATTTCATTTTTTTAAATTGTTAAATATTATTTTATTATTTCCTTTCTACTTTTTTATATTAATTTTTTTTTCATATATATGTATTTTTCACGATCTAACGGTTTTGACTTTTTAGAACTTTCAATTAATCAAGGGTAAGTAATTTGGATCGTCATTTTACATTTTAATTCAAATTTACAACTTTCTTAATTAAAGACAATTGGAAATTACATAGTACCGAAAGGGCGGTTCAAGGGTGCTAATCCTTTCTTGACCGTAACCGACTCCCAAGCCCGACATATTTCTGGTAAGACGCAGATCAGGTAAGAAATAGGGTATCCGATCAACCCATTTGTTTTAAATAAATGATCGGTGGCGACTCCAATCCATATTTTTTCTAGTCAAAGCCCAATTCCGGGGCCCAACCGAAAGACGGTTGCGACAGCTTGACTCCGCTGGGGACACAGGTAAGCGAGTCAGGCTAAGGTAATTTCCAGTTGTCTTCTTAATGAAAAATGTAAGTTTGAATTTTAAGGTAATTTTTCGATCCTTGTTACTTACTTTTGATTATGTTTTTCCGAGTAAATAGTTGAATTGACCATTTTCTAATGATTTCAGCTTTCCAAATATTTTTATTTAAAGGCTCTATACCCGAGCTCTGAACCCTTTTAAGTGAGGGTGAAAACGACGCCTTCGTGTGAATTTATTCTCCGTATGGGCCTAGCAAGTAACCTTCGGGATTCATATACCTTATGCCTTCGTGTGAATTTATTCTCCATATGGGCATAAGGGAATGTATCCTCCTGAGTTTAACTTAGTCCACACAAGCCTGTGATGGGTTTAGGACTAAGGGTCTGGCAGGTCCAAGGGGGCACCAACAAGGAGAACTCGGGTACCGTTTTTTAGAACCTAACCCGGGAGACTATGGAGAAATTAAGCCTACCCCGAAACCACATTCCGAAACCTATGACGTTTATTTAACCTTGTTGTTTTTGTCTTTTTTTCATGTATTTTACTTATTTATTTTTATATTATTATTTTACTAACCTTTTTGCCTTTGTGTTTGTTTTAAGGCATTTTGCATCATAACAAGATGTTACTGGTCCCTGAAAAGGTGTTTATTATACAAAATAATCTGAATTAATGGACAAAGGTATTGTAATACAAGAGACTAAGAACCCCGAGGTACGACTATGGTCCGAGAAGACTCAGAAAGAAAAGGGAGACAACCTTCAAGGAAGCTATGTGTCAGAGCTGGTTAGTTACGCATCTATCAGCCTAAAACAGAATAATGTGCAGGAGCTTCGAGATATCTGAGATAGTTGGAAGGATGATCGGAAACAGAAGTTTAGCCAACGGTACGGTGACATTGCACTTTTACTTCATGTTAAGACTGATGAGCCCTTGATCAGAGCCATGGTCCAATTCTGGAACCCGGGATACAGTTGTTTCACTTTTAACTGGGAGGACATGGTGCCTACTATCGAAGAATACACTACACTGCTACACTGTGAAAACATCAAACTAGGGCGAGTCTACGTTAAGCACACCAAAAGTCAGCCTTTCAAGAGTACACTGGCCAGAGTCGCGGGAGTAGACGAGAAATGGGTAATTGATCAGACTCGGCGCAAAGGCAGCGGGGAATGAATTGAATGGATCCACATAAGGCAATTAATGAAGAACCACCCTGATGAGTGGAAGACTATAGACCTTTTCGCGCTGGGTCTGTACGGTTTGGTTATTTTTCCAAAGGCTTTGGGGTGCATTGACGTAGCCGTGGTGGAATTATTTGAACAACTACCTAGACAAGTCAACCCAGTACCAGCCATCTTAGCAGAGACCTTTCGTTCTCTTAATCATTGCAGA